TTTTTTTTTTTCAGTTTGCAGCATGCCAACCCTCTGCTAGATGCTAACAATACAAAAAGGACTAAGACTGGATGCTCTTGAAGATCTTAGACTAATAGATGATGCAGATATGGAAATAATATAAGTGCTATAGAGCTATTTGTACAGGGCTACATGTACCAAGAACACATAAGAGAGCAATAAAGGCCACTCTCTGACCTGGGTAGAGTTAACAGAGAGAACTATAAATTTTATAAGCATAACCAGAACATAAAGGGTGCTTAGTAAATTCTCAAATTAAATGGAGAGGGGTAAAAAGGATGCTTTCAATTTACCAGTTGAAAAAGCGGGGCAAGCCAAGCTTAAGGTACCGTGGCGTGAAAGTTCAGGAAATGGAATAGCTTAGGTGGCTAGAAAGAAAGCTGAAAGGATAAGTGTGGTCTAAATTAAAACAGGCTTTGTATGCTTTGCCAAGGACCTTAAAGTATAGGCTAGTGGTTCTTTGAATCTAAGAGCCCTCTTTTAACCGTTAAACACACACCGATGAAATGTGAATAGAATATAATAGTAGTTGCATTTTAGATTTTGCCTGTCTACAGTGTGTGGTACAGAATGATTATTGGATCTCTTGCAATTATCTTGATACTAACTGTGATCACAGCAACCGTACTCTTTCAAAGTACCAGTAAGTTGGGAACTACTGCTGTAAACTAACAGAGAAGAATCTGCTCTGTGGCATCCTGTCCATGTCACATTTTTGCTTACTTGCAGTTTCTTTTCGAGTGTTTAGGGGTAAAGGATTGAGAATAGGAGTTAATTAGCTGAAGTATCTTTCTGGTTATTTAGGAGACCTACTGAGAAAACCTTTGAACTTTGAGTTAGTAGATGACTGTTATCTCTTCTACAACACCTGCCATCATTGAAAAGTAAGGACAAATATGTAGCAAGATTTTCATACAGCTATGTTAATTGCATTTAAATGAAATTTTCTTATTTTATATTGTTCCTCTCTTTTTTTTCCCTTTGTTATCAAAATGTCTTTATAGTATGGTTGTAATAGTAAAGAACTGTTATGTTGAAATGTCCTTTCTTAACAAAATTACAAATTGGCACTGCAATCGTTTTGTATTTTTTTTAAACTATTTTTGTAGTTCTTAAAATACAAAGCCAGGAAACCATTACTATGTCACCTCCTTCAAAGGAGCACTTGAAATCAGTTTCTAAAATGGGTGGCATCTGTGCTTAAGTGCACAGAAATTCATAAAAATGGTTATATACAAATTTTTAAAACATATCTTTTTTGCAAAGACATCACAAGGAAAGAAAACTACAGATCAATCTCTCTTATGAATAAGGACACAAAAATCCTCAACAAAATACTAGCAAAACAAATCTTATAGTATATAAAAAGGAGTATATTATACACCATGACCAGATGGGATTTTGTCCCAGAACACCAGGCTCATTTAACATCTGAGTATCAATTTATGTAATGTACCGTATTAACAAAATAAAGGAGAGAAACCATGTGATCATCTCAAAAGACTAAAGGTATTTGACAAAATTCAGTGTCCCTTAATTATTAAAAAAAAACGCTGACAAATTAGGAATAGAAGGGAACTGCTTCACCTGATAAAGGGCATCTGTGAATAACTCACTGCCAACATCATGCTTAATGGCAAGAAACAGAATACTTTCCCTCTCAAGTCAAGAGCAAGGATATCTGCTCTCATCATTCCATTCAACATTATACTAGAAGTCCTAGCCATAGCAGTGAGACAAGAAAATGAAAAGGCATCCAGATTGCTGAAATTTATAAAGCGATCCTAAAATTCATGTGGAAATGCAAGCAACTCAGAAGAGGCAAAAACAGTTTTGAAAAAGAACAAAATTAGGACTCATTTCCTGATGTCAAAACTTACAACGAAGTAATCAAGAAAATGTGACACTGGCATTAGGACAGAACATATAGATCAATGGAATAGAATGGAGCACCCAGAAATAAACCCTTACATTTATAGTCAGTCGATTTTGACAACAGTCATAAGACAATTTAAGGGAGAAACTAGTGCTGGGACAACTAGACATCTACATCATCTAAAAGAATGAAGTTGAACCTCCATCTCACACCACATACAAAAATTAACTCAAATGGATCGACAACCTAAATGTAAGAGTTAAAACTAAAATTATTAAAAGAAAACAGGTGTAAATCTTTGCGTACTCTGAGTTAGCCAATGGTTTCTTAGCTATGGGACCAAAAGCACAAGGAACAAAAGAAAAAAAATAAATTGGGGGTCATTAAAATTAAAAACTTCTGTGCTTCAAAAGACAGTATGAAAAAGTAAAAGGCAACTCAGAATGGGAGAGAATATTTGAAATCATATATATGATAAGGAACTCATATCTAAAATATATAAAGAACTCTTACAACTCAGCAACAAAAAGATAATCCAATTTTTTTTAAATAGGCAAAGGGTCTGAATACTTTTTTCTCCAAAGATAAACAAATGTCCAATAAGCACATGGAAAGATGTTCAAAATCATTAGCCATCAGAGAAATGCAAATCAAAACAACGATGAGATACAACTTTACACCTACTAAGACGATTATAATAAAAAAGATGATAACAAGTGTTGAAGATGTGGAGATTTTGGAATGTTCATGCCCTGCTCTTGGGAATGTAAAATGGTACAGCCACTTTGGAAAACAGTCTGACATAACCTCATAAGGTTAAACATGAAGTTACTATATGGTACAGCAGTTCCACTCCTAAATCTGTACCCAAGAAAACTGAAAACATGTCTATGCAAAAATTTATACACAAATGTTCATAGTAGCATTATTCATAATAGCCAAAAAGTAGAAACAGAAGTGTTCTTCAACCGATGAATAGGTAAAAAAATATTGATATATTTATACAGTGGAATAGTATTTGGCAGTAAAAAGAAATAAGGTACTGACATACATACTACAAGGTATATGTAAACACCACACTAGGTGAAAGAAACCAGTTACAGAATACCACGTGCCATACAATTCTGTTCATATGAAGTATCCAGAGTAGGCAAATCCATAGAGACAGATTGATCAGTGGTTGCTACCTGAGAGTGGGGGAATAGGGAGATTGGGCATAATAGCTAAAGGTACAGGGTTTCTTTTGGGGCTGTTGGCAGTGTTCTAAAGTTCATTGCAGAGGTGCTTACACAACTCTATACTAAAAACAAATTACATACTTGAAATTGGTGAGTTCTATGAGATGCGAATTGTAGCTCAATAAAGCTGTCATGGAAAAAAATAATTAAGTTTCCAGGTATGCCTGATTACTTCATGTTGCTGAGTCGCTTTTGTTTACGATTAGATCCTATTTTAAACCCTACTATTCTTTCTCTTTTAGAGCTAAGCCTCTCTGCTGGATACCTGCAGCTGGGGCGCAAATGCCAAGATTTCACCTCTTCTGCAAGTAGAAAGCTCTACTTTGATACCCATGCCTTAGTGTGTTTACTCGAAGAAAATGGTAATCCTCTCTCAATGGTCACTCAGTGCCATAGAAAAACACTATAACTTATGACTTCTCACAATTTCATCTAACTTCTCATATTTCTCTTTGACTTAAGTCCTCATTTGTTGAAGGACATTTTTGCTTCATAGTACAATTGAGATTTTTCTCATATATTTTGCCCAAGTCAAGTGTACTCTTATAACAACATCACTCTGGAAATATAATGTTATAGATAAAAATTTAGATACAAGTCAGCAAAACTCAGGAGTGGTTTCTGTGCCAACTGTCTGAAGCACAAAAATGATGGTTTTATTACTATGCATCTTATGTGCTTTTAAAATTTTTATGAAATTAAATGTTACTGAGCAGCAATTACCGATAATATCAATTTATCATGTTCTTTTAAAAAAATATTCAGACTAACATTTTCCCTTATTGCTGTTGAGTTAATTAATATATAAGATTGCTCTGACATATGACATTTATTGAAAGTACACTTAGTATATAGGTAACATTCTCATAATTAATCTAATCTGGACAGATACACTGATTATAATTCTCTATATGGTAACACATATGTTCCCCAAATCAGAATCTTGAATATCATAGATTATGCCTTTGAAATAAGCATATCCGTTTTTTACTTCATTGTATAGTATTTATCCAGTTGTGCATATTCATATCTGAAGAGCCACCCTCTGTAAATGTACTTCACATCACCAAGTCAAGGTGATAGAGTGAATTCTGTGCTTATGTGGGGGAGTTAGGAGTTCTGGGTTCAAGCTATGCCAGGATCCAGCTGCAGAGCCTAGAGAGACCTTTTATACTCAGTTTCCATTTCCTCACTGGTAGCTGGGCAAAATAATTCTAAAGAGCCTTTTGAGTATTAAATGAGATAATACTTGAATGTACTTTGGAAAAACTCAAATGCTCTATAATAATTTTTACAACTTTTCTTCTCAAAACTTTTGTTGGTCAAAAAGAAAAGCGAAAGTGAGAAGAGGGGGACATCTAAAATTATCTTCATAAGCAGAAGTCTTCCTACTTTCTTTTTCCTCTTTCTTTTTTTTTTTTTTTTTGTTGGACCTTTTGTGTTTGTATTCAAAGTAACCAAAAGTAAAAAGATATTGGAGATAATGGGGGCATTTTAACATATACTAGGTGTTGATGATATCAAGGGAGCATCATTATATTTGTTAAGTGTGACTGTGGCAAGGTAACTGCGGAAGACTCAAAATGGCCACCAAAACTTCCTCCCAATGAGAGGTGGAGTTCATTTCCCCTCCCCCACTTTAAAATTTTATGTATTTATTTATTTATTTATTTTGACAAATAAAACTGATATATGTTTAAAATGTGCTTCCTGCTTTTCTTGATTTCAACCCTTGACCCATGAATATTTGCATGTTTCAAGACCAGTGATTTGAGGGCCTCACTGAAGTAAGTGTAGGGCGAGAAGGCACCAAGATGAATGATAGACATCTTAGTTGTATGGGTTAGGATAATTCCAGGAAGGACCCTTCGAGGAATACTCCATCCTTTATCCTTTTTTTCTCCAGAGTTAATGTCTCCTGATTAACAAAACTTCCTCTGTCTGTAATCTCACTAACACTGATTGTGTCTTGTCCTCTCATTCCTGCAAAAAATTAATTCGTATCTGGTAACCCAGTAGGTTTTCAGGCTTAACTTCTGTTTTTTCTTATCCCTGTCACTTCCCACAGGTGGTTATAAATTATAAGGCTTTGGAGGTTATTATCAGCATACATTCTCTTCCACTCTCTGTTTTTCCTTTCTTCATAATTGCCAGACCTCATCATGTTTCACTACAAACTCTTAAAGTTTTAAAAATTGTGAAAGACATGTTTATTTTCAAAAAATTAGGAAGACAGAAAAGAATAAGAAAAACTATTCTGAATCGCAATACCCACATCTAAACATTTTGGTGGGTAACCTTTTGGGTGATTTTTCTAGATGTGCATGACCCACACATTGAAAATTAAAGGATTTTGAATGAAGTGAAGAGAGTAAGTCTTTGGAGGTCTTTATGTCTCCTTTAAATCTGTGGGTTGTTTTTTTTTTTTAATTTTAGTCCCATGTTTAATCTCATTCAGATTGTATCAGTCATAACTTTATTCAAATAAATATGCCATTAATTACAAGAATCAGTAGATTCTTCTGAAGTTCTTATAGATGGATGTATTTAATAGAAGGAATTACTTTTCAGGGACTTGGTTTTAAGTGTTTTATTACAATTCCCCATGTGAACTAGAAGTTGCTATCTAAGTTATTAAAAACAGTAATATTGTTGAGTTGAATCCTTATGTAATTCAATAGTTAACGATTTGTCTTATTTGTGCTAGATATAAAACAATTGAGCTTTCCTACTTACGTAAATTGTTTTTGCTAATATATATATTTTTAAATTAAGGAAGTCACATCTATTGTAGAAAATTTAGACAATACAGAAGAAAAAAATTACATAGAATCTTTGTTAAATTATAAAAGCAACAAATTATAATTTTAAGTCTTTTTTTTTTTCACTTGACCTTTCATTGCAGGCATCCCCTATGTTATTAGACCACTGAGAACATGATTTTTGGCAGCTAGGAAAGACATTAGAAGGACATTAGCCCATCTCCTCACTTTACATGAGGAAGCAGACTCAGATTTGTCATACTTGTCCAGAGTGACAGACAGATAATAGCCTGTGACTGTAGTCTCCTCACTCTCCTACCACACTAGGCTTTCTTCCTGCTTCTGAATGTGTAAGTTTGCATTTTCTCCCATACTATGGAGAATTTTTTTAAAAAAAATTTTTTGGATAACTAGAGTCTCCTGAGTATGATTTTCTTTGTGTGTTTACTTAGGGTTTACTACTCAACAAGCAGAAATCATTGTATCTGCACTGGTCAAGATCACAGAGGCCAACATGGATATCATCTACAAAGACATGGTCACGAAGGTGCAACAGGTTGGCTTTGTCAGGGCGCTGTAGCAAATTTAAAGTCTAAAGGGAGGGTATTATTTGTAATATATGTTTCTGGATAATATTTTATTGAAAGGCATATAGTAATTTTAACCATAGTTGAAAGGCAGATGATTACAGTGGCATAAAAAATATTTATTCAGAGCTATTTAGTGAACTCTCATGGAATCATTATGCCTCAAAACTCGCTGTGCTTGAAAACTGACTATTCCCATCTACCACACTTTAATGGAGATGTGGCCAGAATTATAGCAGTGTGTTTTGAGTCCTTAGACTGCCACCTTTTTAACTATGATTCACTTGATGATGATGCTGGACTTGAGTTTTTCTTCTTTTCCTTTCTGATTTTGGCAAAGAGGATGACCTTGCCGAACCTCTTTTCCTGTGTCCACATTCTTCTAGTTTCTCCATAGGATGATGCCAGGAAGAGACCATAGGAGGTAGACTTTCTAGACTAGATTGGGTTATATGTTTTGTTTTTTCTTTTCCTAGGAGATCACTCTTCAGCAAATAATGTCTCAGATTGCCAGTGTCAAAAAAGATATGATTATTTTGGAGAAGAGTGAATTTTCAGCCCTCAGAGCAGAAAATGAGGTAAAACTAAGCAGCCACTCATAAAATGTTTTATATTCAGACATTGAGATATAATATATGTACAGAGAAGTGCACAAGTAAGTGTACATCTCAGTGAATTTTCACAAAGTGTGCACTACTGGTCAGATCAAGAAGTAAAACATTAGCAGTACCCCAGAAGTTCTGCTTATGCCCACTTCTAGTTACTCCTCCCACAGAGGGGACCACTCTCTTGGCTTATATCACCATTGACTAGTTTTGCCTATTCTAGAACTTCAACTGATGGCATCATACAGTGTGTCTTGCAGCAATAGACCATTCTTTTTCATTATAGAATTATATCAATATCCCACATTATTCTACTGTAATGTATATTAGAATTGTTTCCAGTTTTTGGTTATTGTAAATAAATGTGCTATAAAATATTCCTTAGTTTCGTAAACTGTGGCATGTGGGATCATTTAAGTGCTGTCTTTGCATCTTCCTTTTGTTTTCAGTCCTATTGAAGTCCCATAAAGGAAGTTCATTTATTACCTGTTAGTCTTGAAAGAAACTTTCTATCAAAGATTCCTTCTTTTGCTAGAAAAAGATAAAGTTTGAAACTCTCAGAGTTGTCCTTGAAGTCAGCTGTTAGTTAAAAGAAAAATTAAAAGAGGTGTTAAAGAAAGCAAGGCCTCTGAAGGCAAACAAGTTAAAAAAAAATTAAACGATCTTGGCAAAACAATCACTTCTGCTACTGAGACTATTTAATGTTACATTCTGAATGTAGCCACCTTCGTGTTGCATGAAGGACAACTTGAAGAATTTGTGTATAAATATATGTTCTAGTATTTGCGTATTACCAAATTTTATATTTTTCTTCTAACCTTCTAAACATATCCTTGACTTGTTTCTTTTTAATGTTTTTTAGAAAGTAAAGCTTGAACTACATCGGTTAAAACAACAAGTAATGGTAAGATCCTCATTCCTGTTTGCTTGCTTGTTTACAGTTATGTAACCTTAGTAAAAATATGTCAGAAATACTTTATATGTTCTTAAAAACTTAATTCTATGTTAAATATTCGTGTAATACATCTCAAAAGTACACACTGGAAGATTTAGCTAAGAACATAGCCAGTGAATAAGTTACTGATTTTTGTAACCAAATTGATTAAGAAAATTGTATTCGAGGGGGAATTAAGTCATTTTTAAATGAAAAATGTTCTAAAGTAGAACATTTGGAACCCTTAGATTCTCTTAGAAGTGACTGTAGAGGATTACATGTGATCCTTAAATGAATTAAAATGCTTACTGTGCCAGTTGATTTTTTTTAAGTAGAAAAGACATTGATATTAAGAAAAGATTTTAATGTGTCATAAAGAAGGCCGTAGGCTACGGTCATGCTACCCTGAACAAGCCCGATCCTGTCTCATCTCGGAAGCTAAGCAGAGTCGGGCCTGATTAGTACTTGGATGGGAGACCACCTAGGAAGACCAGGTGCTGTAGGCGTAAACATTTTTTAAAAAAGGGATTGTAAGCTGACAGGGTCCTTGCAGTCTATGAGGTAAACCAAGGGTTGCCTCACCTAAAAAAAATAAGGCTTTATTTAAATAAAAATGTAATATTTTACTTCTTTGAGTCCATCTCTGCTTTCCAAAGTTGTCCAAGGAATGGTTCTAATTATAAATTCCACTAGGAGATTATCTTGGGAATCTTGAGGTTAAAAGCAACAATAACTCACTCTGGGCTAATTTAAGCATAAAAAGGATTGTTTGTATATATAACTGGGAAGTCTCAAGACAAGCCTGACTCCAGATGTGGCTTGGCCAGAGTCCTCTGACGTCACTAGTCCCCATCTCCATTTCTCTGTGAGCCCCTGTCCTACTCTGCCCTGCTCTGAGCTAGCCCTTCAGGGTAGAAGCACTGGAGGGTACAGCTTTCCCAGGCTTCACATCCTTAGAGCGTTTGGATTTCTTACTTTGGATTTCTTTCTTTTTTTTGTCATTTGCCCTCCTACTAGGATGAAGTGATGAAAGTCCGAACAGATACCAAATTAGACTTCAATCTAGAAAAGAGCAGAGTAAAAGAATTGGTATGTTTATTAAAAATAGAGTATGAGTAATTTCTTTGCAAGATGGAATGCTTGGTCTAAGTTTCTATACAGTTCATAAGTACTGTAAAATATTTACCTGTATATCATTGTTAGACAGTATTTTCTTTATTTTAATTATATTTTAAATTAGGACAAGTTTGTTGCTTTCAAAAGTAACATTAAAATTAAAATCTTGGTCAAATCAAGTTGAATTTTTTTCTTTGTTTCAGAGATACTAAATTATGTGTCAGATATTGATAAAGAAATTACACTCAGTCTTGATCTATTTAATACTGACTTAAACTTCCACAGGTCCTGATTTTATACAAGTTGAGTTGATTATCTGACTTAAATAATATTAAATTATTAATTTTAAATAGTATTAGATTCTATATCAAAATTCAAGATGAAAAAATTATTTCCATATTGCCTTTTTTTAAATGGAGAAATCTTAATGACTATATGGCATTGTTTTGAAATCCATGTTCTAAAGGATTCTTTAAGTTATGTTAACGTGAAATTTTTAATTATGAAAAGTAGTGTTGTAAGTTTGTTACCAAAAAGATACCACAAATGTAGGTTGTAAATGATTAAACTGAAGGAGATACATATCTGCACAATGACTTGTGGGATCATGCACAGGACCTAAGAAAACTGGAAATACAGCTCTGCTGCCCTTGCTTGCTTTTCCAAAGAAAATACATATAAATACAAATTTTATCCCTCAGAGCTTTCACAGTAACACTTCTTTTTTTTAATTGAGATGTAATTGACATGTATTAGTTTCAGGTGTATAACGTGATTTGATGTTTGTACATATTGCAAAATGATCATCACAATATGTCCAGTTAACATCCATCATAGTTATAAATTTTTTTCCTTGTGACAAGAACTTTTAAGATTTACTCTCTTAGCAACTTTCTAATATACCATACGATATTGTTAACTATAGTTGCCATGCTGTATATTACATCCCCATGACTTAATTATTTTTTAACTGGAAGTTTGTGCCTTTCAACCCTCTTCAAGACCCATTTTACCCACCCTTTGTTTCTGGCAACCATCTTCACAGTATCTGTGAGCTTGAGTTTCTTTTTTTGTTTGTTCTTTTAGATTCCACATGTAAGTTAGCCCATACTGTATTTATCTCTCTGATTTATTTCACTTAGCATAATGCCCTCAAGGTTCATCCATGTTGTTCAAACAGCAGGATTTTTTTTTTTTATGGCAGGATAATATTACTATATATATATACATACACTCATGTTTCCTTGTTCATTCTTCCATCAATGGACACTTAGGTTGCTTCCACATATTGGCTATTATAAATGCTGCTATGAACAGGGGGTACAATAAGTTGTATGTTTTAATAAAGATATGTGTTGGGTAGCCTCTAGTTATTTTTAACCCATCTACTTGTGCTGGCTTTATTTGAATTTGATAACATTAGGTAGATAACTTTTTCATTCTTAGCATAATGAGAAATAGGGCATATAATACATTTTTCACTAACACAGAATTGGATACACATGCAGAAACTGAATACTCATAATTGTTCGTAGTCTTCTCATTTTTACCCTTTTTTTTTTTTTTTTTTACAGAAGTCCCTTTAACATTTCTTGTAATACTGATTTGTTGGTGATGAATTTCTTAAGCTTTTCCCTGTCTGGGAAGCTCTTTGTCTCACCTTCCATTTTAATTGAAAGCCTTGCTGGGTAGAGTATTCGTGGTTGTAGATTCTTGTTTTACATAACTTTGAATATTTCTTGCCAGTCCCTTCTGGCCTGCAGAGTTTCCATTGAAAAATCAGCAGACATTCTAATGAGGGTACCCTTGTAAGTAACTAGCTGCCTTTCTCTTGCTGCTTATAAGATTCTCTTTGTCTTTGACCCTTGGCATTTTAGTTATGATGTGTCTTGATATGGGTCTGTTTGAATGCCTCATTGTCTTTCACAATTTGCTTTTAACCAAAATGTGCTACAACAACAAATGAAGTTAATATTGAAACTCAAACAAGTACTCAACTATATTTTGGAACTGCCTATGGATTTCAAGATAGAAGTTGAGCTTCATTATACTAAATAATTGATTATGCCCATGCTATCTATCTTTCTAGTATTAAAACACTGTTCAATCATGAAGATTAAATCACTTAGTATCACTAAAATATTTAGTGATCACCAGCATATGACTCGTATATAGAAGAGGAGAACTCTTGATTACCTTTGTCCTTATGGGTTGTATAATTAGCAAAAATTCTGAATTCACTTAATTTAGGAAGATGCCTGTAATTAACCAACCTGGGAAGAAATATACTGAGGATACTGGGAAATACAAATGTGAGGATGGATTAAAGCCAATGAATTTGTGATTTACTAACCTATCTGAGTTGTTCTTGGTAATGCTAAACTTAGATTACTCCAAGGTGCAGGAAAGTAGTATAGTATTATGAAGCTAGCATGTATTTAATATGCATTGATGAAGATGAATTATTTGATCCCCTCATTCCCTTAATAAAATTATAGTGTCAATTACATTAAGTGGAGTGACATTTACAGCCAGTTTCAAAAGTAATATGGCCTATAAACTTCTTTTCATAAAGATGGAGCCACACTGAACTTATTTTTAAAATCGTGATAATGTCAAGACTTACACTTTCTTTCTCTTGTAGCTAAGTTAATAGTAACTTACTGAAGGCCAGAGTTTAAAGGAGTGCAGAAAATCCAGTTCTACCCTGCCCTCTGGTGGTGATATGATGCATAGCTCTCCTCATCTGATACCCTGACATTTAAATCTGGAAATGAGTATTCTTTAGTTCTAGTGACTAGTCTTTAGTTTGAAGTTTGGGGGTTTTTTCTTCTTCTTCTTTTTTTTTTTTAATTTTCAAGTAATGTTGTTTTTATACTCTATCCACCTGGTAGACTTGGGAAATTTTTATAAATAGAAAGTTTGTAGATACTTCAAAAGCGTTAATTATTTTCCCCTATAACAATATACAGTGAAGAATTTTTCATTCTTCACTTAAAGTATAGATTTGCATTTGTTCAATTAAATCCTAATGCCCACAACTAAGGAAGTATATCTGATTTTGGTCTCAATGTCAGCAAAATTACACTAAATCTTTGCACAGACATTCATAGCCAAAGGCAAGATATCATTTTACTTTTGGGTAGAATTTGTCAGTTCCTTCAGTAACACTGGGCTGTGACAGTACCCACGTGGGTTTGTTTGTTTTTAATGAAAACCAAAATATGATAGCGTATGTCTTGTATCTTTATATTCACATTGTGTTTTATAATCACAAAGCAACATCTGTGTCACATATAATATCCTTCCTATCTTTTGTCTAAGCCTCAAATAGTGACCAGTTTTGTCTATAGTTATGCTGGGATAGCTCCTAAATTGAATTATTCCCTACTTTTTTCAACTCTCTCAAAGCCAACTAGCGTATGACTAAGCATCCGTCTAAATTGGTCCCAGAGAATGCTGTTATATTAGTGAGAGGGACCTAGAGACATCACAGTGAAGAGATGAAAAGAGAAAAACATAGCGGAGAGGTGAAGGATGACAAAAAGGAATCCAGATACTGGAGCGATAAATGAATATAAATAAGAAACCTCAAGAAACACATCTAAAGGAGAGGGCCAAGTAGGCTACTTTAACCTGGAGGTTACATATTCTTGGAAATAGCGAGGCTAGAATATGTTAAGGCACTAGAGAAGGAGGAGACAGAGAAAGGAATAAATCAGCATCTGACCTATGTGACATGTTTGTTTCAGTATTCTTTAAACGAAAGGAAGCTGCTGGAAATGAGGACAGAAATGGTGGCATTGGTAAGAAATGAGTCTGGCTTTTCTTGGTCATTTTATTCATCTCCGCTTCATCCCATGCATGATTATTGTTGTTTGTAATGATGTGTCATAGGAAAATATATGCAGGTTTAGTGTCATAGGTTTTTTTTAAAATGCAGTAAAAATACACATAAAAATTACCATTTTAACCATTTTCGAGTATACAGTGACATTAAGTATATTCACATTATTGTGCAACCATCACCGCTGTCTGTTCACAGAACTCTTTTCGTCTTTCAGAACTGAAACTCCCCTTGTTGAACACTGACTCCCCATTTCCTTCTCCCCGCAGCCCCTGCCAGCCACCATTCTGCTTTCTATCTCTGCATTTCACTAGTACTCTAATATAAGTGGACTCATACAGCATTTGCCTTGTTGTAACTGGCTTATTTCACTTAGCATATTGTCCTCAGGGTTCATCCATGTTGTAGCATGTGTCAGAATTTCCTTCCTTTTTAAGGCTAAATAATAATTCCATTGTATGGCTGTACCACATTTTGATTATCCTGTCTATGGATACTTGGGTTGCTTCCTCCTTGTGGCTGTTGTGAAGAATGCTACTATGAACATGAGTGTTCAAATATCTGTTGGAGTCCCTGTTTTCAACAATTTTCAGTATATATCCAGAAGTAGAGTCATAGAATTTTTTTTTAATTTTTTTTATTTTTAGCTTTTATGGCATGCATTACTTCTATTACCTGGGACCTCTGAAACCTGTAAGAGACTTCCATGAGAGAACCCTGGAATATTCCTCTGAAATACTTTTCTTCTCATCCAGGCACCTATTTCCTTATTCATTACCTGAATCATTAGCCATAAAGAACTACTTATTTGCTCTAGAATTTATAGGGAAGCATTTTCAGTGTTTTTTTTTGCCTTAATGAAATGTGATAACCACTTTATAACAGCCAAACTCACCACCTTTGGGGGTTAAACTGTATTTTATTTGGGAAAGAACACAAATAGGCCTTTGGTATGGCCAAGCCTCATAATAATAAAACACTCGTGTTTGAATTATAAAAGAAGACAACTTTTAAAAGTGTGAATAGAAATAGTGTCAAAGCAAGCACTATTGCTTTTAGATTGTCCAAAATTCCATTAATTTATTAAAGCAATTTTTGTATGCCTTTCATTAAGAGGAATTTAGAAGGATGGAACATATTCATTTCCATTGAGAACAGAGTGGCTTCATAATGTTAACCTTGTGGAGCAATCAATCTATAATGTACAAAAGCTTTTCACATTTTTACATAGCTTTTCACATTTGATTCTCTGAACAGTGTATGTGAAGGCAAGGCTAATAGTATTTTTTTCCCCTTTTCTCAAACAGAAGGAAACAGGCCTAGCTATCTTAAAGGCCCTAATCAACACAACATAGCATGAGAATAGTAGAACTAAAATCAGAGCCCATGTCTCCTTAATCCTATCCCACTTCCCCTCGACTGCACCCTGTTGGGAAGTTGCTCTCAGGACTGACAGAGCAGAGGGGATGGTATATCCCACGTGGTTTAATGCTGTGAATCTCTTTGTTTTGAAAGCATGCCCAGCAAGATCGGGCGGTCACCCAGACAGACAGGAAGATAGACACTGAGGTTGCTGGTCTCAAAACTATGCTCGAGTCGCACAAGCTTGATAATATTAAATATTTAGCAGGTAAGCTATTTTGTATCTAAGTAATTAAAACAAGCTAAAAATAAAATTTATAAAATGAGTCAGTGACAAATATTGCATTTCATTGATTCTAACATTTTTTCATATTTTAATATCTCTGAAATTGGAAGACATAACTTCCAGTAGATGGAATGTCATACAACAATTGGCATGTTTTTCTTTCTTAGTAGTAAATAAGGAGTAATTTTGCTTTGGTAATTTTTGAGCCAAAAGAGGAATAAAGATACATGTACAAAAAAATTATTTAGCCATTATTTTAACTCAAATTTAACATTTTGGGTTGATCAATATTTTAAAGTTACAATAGTATTTAGAAGTAAAATTTTGCTCATAAAATTAAAGAGCAGGTCCCTTATACAGTACATATACTTTGTGACCACAGAATTTTTGTGATTCTAAACTTTATTGAAAAGTCTTCTTAAATATTGGATACATTTGTACTTAGAAGATGATGATTTCAAGCATGGGGTTTATTTTAATGGCCACGTTTCATGGAATGTGGCACATCGGTGAGCAAGCAAAGTTTCTTGTTTTGTTTCCTTTTGGCAGATAGGCAGATAAGTCTATCTTAATAAAAAGTAGTTCCTTCAAGTAACTGTTAATATAACTAATACTATGCTCACTTTTTTTTTTTCTTACAGGGTCTGTATTTACGTGTCTAACAGTAGCTCTGGGATTTTATCGCCTGTGGATATAATAAAGTTTCTATTTAAAGAGCTCTCTATTGTTCTGCCTAAAGAATACAAAAATGTTGTGCTTTTTTTTCCCCTTGTTTTAAATTTTAACCCTGATTTTTTAATGCATATTATTTATTTTATGCAAATTATGGACATGTAACCAAGACAGAAGTCAGAAATTTCATAATTGCTCTTTTATCTTTTCTGTTTAGTTGACTTTATAATACTGAGTGGGAGTGGACAAAGCATGGAAGACCACTCAGCTGGATCAGTAAACTTGGTCTAACTGTGGCACATTCCAACAGTAAATATTTGTATTACTCTCTACAATTTTAAATATTTTGTCACATGGAGAATTTGGGGTCTCCATTTAAAAGGAACATTGGTTTTACTAAGTGCTGAAGAATCATTGAAACTAAACCTAGAGCACCAAATCCTCGTTACCTGCTGACCCAGTCCTTAACGTCAGCCAGCCAGTCACTGTGTTAGAGTGTTGTTTCAGCTCTAGTTGGTTGATATGTTAATGATATAGCTGTACTTTATGTCAAAAGGAGACTTTTTAAAAATTTTCCATCGTCTTAGTAAGTTACTGTCATGGTTATTTTTCATGTGCCTTCCATCTAGAAAATCTTGTTGCTTAATGAAGTGTAATTGTAATGAGGACTCTTGTACCTCTAGATTTCTCTTCCTCCCTCACAGTTTGAGAGCCATAATAATACTCCACTTGTGGCACTGCCTTTCTAGAAGACTTGCTAATTCTAAGCATGGATATCTGTGGGACAAGGTCTACTTCCTTCTGGTCTTCTTTTTCTACAAGGGAGGCAGTCTGTTTTCCTTCTGTAGCAGTATCTAGATATTTAGATAGTACATGTACTTTTTAGAAAAGCCTTTAATGAATATGCCTTTGCCTATTACAGTCTCAGATCATAGACTTTCAAAATTAGAGAACTGTCATGCCAAGTATGTGAATTTAGGTTGATTCCTTTGGTCATTAAAAACATTCTCATGCCTACCTTACCTCTATATATTTAAAACAAATTAATTCCTAGATACAACTGGGGTTGTTTTGAGGAAGCACATTCTCATCTTATTTGTATGGCACATGGGAGAAAATAAGCATTTTAGAAACGATGACCCTTTCTATCTTTCTCCACATGCATGCATGTATATATAACCTGGTACAGTGTGAAACCACCGATCAAACTGGCACAATACCCGATGCTACTGTTCCAACCACACTGCCAAAAAAGTTGCCTTTTGTCCTTTGGATGTCATTTTTAAACTTTGGAAAGTATAAGTCATTACCTTTTTTAAAAATATTGATGTAACACAGATTCTGAACTCCAAATAAGTATAAAAATTAAGTACTTTTGCATTACTGGTATCGGTTTCAAACAGAATAATAATCTTTTTCAGTTGGATCCAAAATTAACTGCCTCATCAAATATTTTATTGATATATTCTTCCCCTTTCAGAGAAAGATCCCCGGAAAACAATGCATATTTAGCAATTGCCTTACATTTTAAAGGCTTAAGTAAATGACATTCAGACCCGTTCAGACTACACTTGCAACTACTTAATGTAGATATAGCTTTGGTTAGTACGAGTTTGGAGAAAGGGGCCAGAGAGCAGGCACTCCTCCAAAATAAAGAATCCCCAAGAGGAGAAAGTACTGTAAATTATGTCTCAAAGCAGACACCGATGTACAGGCAAAAACAATCAAGTGACCTTACATCCCAATAAGATATTTTTAAATAACATTCAGTGGGGTGACATTCTTTCATCTGCCAAAAGTATTTGAAATGACATTCCTACTGGTGATCGTGGGCTGCATCAGTCCGTCACTTAATTTGGGCCATTGAATTTGCTGTAGAGGTGTTTGCAGCACAGAACAGCCTTTTTACCCTCCTCTGCCTTGGGAACAATGAACTCTCCTGATGGAGTGGATTGTGTGCATATATAGAGGTCAGGAGGGTTCGGGACCTGTTCCCTTTATTTAGTCAAATGTATTCTATTCAAAAAGCATATGAGCCAAAAACACAAGTGTCCCCTATCCATTGCTGGCTCAGAGGTCTGTGAACGGCATCAGTGTACTGTGACTGAATACAATATAACTTCTTCAGCTAGCGTGGCTAGAAGGATTCAGATCACTTTAGGAAATTAGGCATTAGCACTCAGAAGGGGGAAGATGCCTGGAAAAACTTCCCAGGAAACCTATGTGTAGCACATGGGAAAATGAACCATAGCTAGGTCCTGAAGACATTCCCCTCTGGGAAACTAACTACCTTAGGTACAAATGCCTAAAATGGAACATCAAATGGACAGAAACTTTATGTTTCCTTTACGTGCACTAATCGCTCCATTCTTTAGGGTTCCTCTGCATTCTTACTTTCTTCTCTTCCCTCCCCTGCCCTTTACTTCTTTCCTGCTCCGTTAATAAGCAAAACCTGTTTGTGTATACAGTTCTTTATAGGAAACACAAATTTTGGTTTCTTTGCTGGTCTTATTATTACTCGGCTGGTTTCCTAGCTTAATATCTAACAAAATTAAATCTGAGTGTATTCATTTTTTCCCTTAAGTATGCCAAGTACCTCGAGCAGTCACAAGTTCAAGAAGAAAGACTTGACTCAAACCAGACATCTTGCTGGAATTGGTCTCTGAACACTGAAAACCAAAATCCTGAGCCACAGTGAACATGACCCTGCCTGGGTTGTCGGGTTCAGCTTGTGCTTTTCCTTCCGTAGCCCCACTTGGTGACATGATCATGTGTTGGTCTCCTCCTTGCCAGCCTCTCTGCCTGTTAATTAACTGTGTCAACATTAGCAAGCATTTCTCTTCCCCCACCCTAATATGCTGTGTTCTAAGAATTTTGGCATTATTTCTGAACAAATATCATATAGATGGCACTATAAAACTCATGTCTAGTAAACTTTGGCTTTAATATATGTTTATCAAATTTGTTGTGATTTTTCTGACACTAAAGCAAAAATATGTTAACCATAAATAATTTATTCTTTATGTATATAAAATGTTTGAGAATGTTTAGCCTTTTATTGGAATTTTATTTGGAAAATGTCTTTCTACATATTTATAATTATATTCTTCCAATTATAACCTAGATCGTTTCTTAATTCATTACTTATACAAATATTCAGTTACTACACTATATAGAGAGTAGGTAAAACATTTTTGTTATCTAAAATAAAATATTCTTTGTGACTAATACACTTTCTGTTTGTTTAAATTGAGTGTGAAAACTAAAACAACTTCTGCCTATACTGTATTTCAACTGTTATTCCCTCCAATTGTATATAACACTGGTGTATTATAACAATCTAGTATCTAAAAATTTGAATTTACTTAGAAGATAAAATTGAAAGTAATTTTTTGATTTTCAAAATAAATTTGTTTTTCAAAAGAATTAGCATGCTCATGTGAAATACTTTACTTGTTTGAGGGGAAATGAGGTTTATACACAAGTTTTTAAAAATAGCTAAGGACTTAGGTTGCAAGTGATAGAAACACAAATCAAGTTAGCTTAAACGAAAAGAAAGAAATCTGCTTTTCTTGGCTGACATGCTCAAAGTTCAGAAAGAACAAAACTAAAACATCATCAGAACTCCTCTCCCAGACTAACTTCACGTGTGGAGGGCTGGAAACACCCAGCACATGCCCTACAACTTAGCGATTGGAGAGTTCCACTTTGGAAAAGCCTGGAAGGAAGTATCTGAAGCAAATAGCTAAGATAGCAGCCAGTAGAAAGATCCCGAGAGGGATGCTGTTGTTCTGTACATCGTTGCATGCTTCTTCCCTGAGGACCTGTGAGCAAATGAGCTCTTCTGGAGTTAGCCTGCACAGGCTGATCTTTGGTGCAATAAACATCTGCTCAGCAAAGCAAAGGAACATCTTGAGAAAGTGGATAAATGAAAGCCCAGAAATTAATTTTAGGTACATTTCACTCTCTTCAAGCAGAAATCTACCAAAATCAGAGGCCAATAAGCTAACTAGATTTGCAAGTGAGCCATAAGTTTCTAAAAGGCCCTAAATGATTTGCCAACTCAGCTTTTTGTGTTTAAAATGGTGCGCCATGGATGCTTTCAATGTCAGGCGTCAGTGCACATTGTCTCACCTTGATCCTGCTCTCAACCTATGTGGTGTGTGAACACATTAAAAACCTTTTCTCTGCTTTGGGGCTTTGATTTCTTTAGAAATAAGAACATTTCTAGAAACTTTCAGTAATCTACCTCTGGCGTTGCACAGCACAGCTTTGCCATTCGTTGTTTGGCCAGTCATGTCTCTACCTTAATTCTGCAGATTCCACTCGAGGATCACAGACTGTAGGACCCTGGGGACAGATCTTATTGTCCACTGTCACCCACAAGGGTCTGAGCATCGATATCCGTAAATAGAAAGCAATTAGCTTGATCTTCTAGTATATATCATAAATATTCAGATAACTATTTTTAAGCCAACACTCTAAGTCAGCAGTCCCCAACCTTTTTGGCTCTAGGGACCTGTGTTCTCCTATCCTGACAATCTGAGGTGGAGCTGAGGCAGTGATGCTAGCACTGGGGAGCGGCTGCAAATACAGATGAAGCTTCACTCTCTTGCCCATCGCTCACCTCCTGCTGTGCGGCCCAGTTCCTAACAGGCCACGGACTGATACCAGTAATGATACCAGTATGTGGCCCAGGGATTGAAGACTCTTGCTCTAAGGAATAAGAAGCTGAAGTATGTGGGCATCTTACAAGGTCCTTTTTGGTTTAATCCGTTTTTACTTTATTATTTTTGAACTTTCAGGTCAGCTTAATATTAAGCCCAGGAAGCTGCACTCAGTTTCAGCTTAGTGTGTCACTTAAGTTACTGTCTTCAGATGTTTTTTTAAACTTTCCTCCTCTAGATCCAACAACACCCATTCTCCCAGGAGAAGAGAAACAGTTGCTTAGTGGCATCTTATCCCTTCCTGAAAGTCAGTGTCTGCCTAACACAGAAGTATCTTTTACTATTTCTCTTTAATTTTACAGTAGTTTATGGTTTGGATGAACCTTGCAGCATCCCAAGCGATGCTGTAACAGGCAGTGTCTTTCTCAAGAATTGCTATCTGTGAAAACCTCAGTGGTAAGACTTTGTGGGGAAAAGATGGAAGCTGGGAGATCAACATAGTCAGTGGACCCATGAGAGCATTTACGATTTTTTTTTTCACATTTGTATCATTTTGATGCTTTCAACTGCTACTAACATAAAACGAACAATGACTTATGCCTCATGACTTTTATTACTTACTTGAGTAGAAATAGGCGATCTTCAGGGTTGGGTCAGCAGCTCAATGTTGCTTTCAAGGACTCAACTCTTTTCAACTTTGCATTCTTACCTTGTGTTAGCTTTCACCTTAAACCCTGGTCGCAAACCTGATCATAATTTTGCTGCCACAGCTCCAAGCACCTCATCCTCACAGGTCAGCATCCAAAGCAAACAGGGTGTAAAAGGGCTCTTCTCGTGTGTTTCCTTTTGATCAGGGAGAAAGCTCTTCCCCTTCCCATAGAAATCCCCTTATGTCTCATAGGTCACATGGCTACCTGTGGCAAGACAAGTTGCAAAAAGGAATATTTAGCTTTTTCAACCCCTCTAGTAAGCAGTGGTCAAGGAAGAAGGAGGCTAGAAATGGTTGTTAGGTTTGCATTCAACAGCGTTGGTTACAATATTCATGAAAATAAAACAGGCCACACAGCTTTAAGTTATCATCCATTAGTGGCTAGAAACAATTCAGAATGCCCTTTCCTTTTATTTCTAATAGCATGGGTAATTTTATTTTATTCTGTGTCATGTAATATTTTTACCAGCTCTCCAAAGAAATCTTCAATTCCTTTTTTTCTTTTACAAACTACTTTCCAGGATTCTACCATTGTCCTGGATTAACTTGCATGCTTGAAGGGAAAAGAGTTTGTTAATTTACAAACTCACCTACACACATGGGTACTTCTCAGCTTTGCCATATTATTTGAGCAAAACAACAGCATACCCCAGGCACCACTCCTTCCCCTCAAAGCAGTAAGGTAGCCTTCCCACAGATACTCTACCCCTCAGGTTTATTTTTGCCTCAGTTTCCTTAAGCTGTATGGCAAAGCATATCTCTTGCACCCCGTCTCTCTCTTTCTCTCTTCCCAGTGTCCTGTTTTCCTCTGTGTTAACTATCTCCTACAAGAATAACTCAGAGCTTATATTCTTGATCTGAAGTTCACATGGTTGCAAGAAGTGTAAAAAGTAAGTCTACATTTGGTAGAATTCGAGGTTGGGTAGGGATGACTGGGTGTACTCAGTGGCCCTGGGGCTTGTCAGGAGGTTGTGGACCTAAAAAGCATCATGT